ATATAATTTTATTAACTATATTATTAATTTAATATATTATTAATATAATTATATATAGTTATAGTTATATTGATATAGTTATATAGTTATAATGTTCTTATGTTGGTTAATATATAATTATAATTATATTATATATATATATATATATATATATAATATATAATAGTAATCTCTCTCTCTCTCTAATTATATTATATAATATATTATATAATTAATTCTTTTTATGAATTAATTACATAATTAAGCTCGAAACTTGTTCGATGTCAAATTGCAACATTTAAATCGTGAAAATAATCTCTTACGTTTCATACTTAACCTTATGCACATTCCGAATTATATTTAAATTTAAAATGTTTTTTTATTTGAAATTTACTTATTGTTAAACTAGAAACAAATAAAGCAAATTAAACAAACGTCGAGTGGGATTCGACAAAGGAGTTACCTGAGATTAAAACTAATGGCGAGTCACACTCGACATAGCAATACAAATGGTTAATTAATCTAATATCAATTAACGATATTTAATAGTTAAAGTATGAAATTGAAATTTAATCAATCTTTTCAAAGTCTGTTTATATTTTTTCCTAAAATAGTACTTATAGTTATTATTATTATTATTATTATTTTTTCTTGTACTTTAAAAAAATCAATTTGAATCTACGAGAATCAAATAATCAATTTCATACATTAAATATTTTTTCTCATGAATTGATATATTATTTTTATTAAAGTGTATGTAATTATATATTTTATTTCATGCTTTAATTAATATCATTGGTATAGTTATGATTTAATTAATTAATTTAACGAATTAACGAATTGTTTCATGCTTTAACGGTAAACAGTAAAATTCATCATTTTCATTTTATTCAAATAAATCTTCTTTATAAATAAATAAAAATGAATTAAATCCTTATTTGTTTCAGGAGAGGTAAATCCGGGTTATGTAAACGAGGCTCAAAGTGTTGCTGGTTCACGTAAATCTTTGTCCTTGAGACCTGTCCTATTAGTAGCACCACCCGAACAAGATCGTTACAGTGAATTATCAAGAGCTAAATCTCATTCGCATCATAGTCTTTATACTCCGGCACCATCTCATCCGGTTCATACAGTTTCAACGAATACTTTGAATCATTCTCAACATAATTTTCAACTTTAAACATCTATTTTCTTTTTCTCGTTTTTTTTTTTATTTTTTTTTAGATAACAAGAGTGTATATATATACATACGTTTAATTGTCCATGACATAATCTTTTTATTATTATTATTATTATTATTATTATTATTATTATTATTATTATTATTATTATTATTATTATTATAATTATTATTAGCTTATAATGGTTAGAAGTTGAATTGCTTTGAACAAAAATTAATTTTTTTGTAGAAATGTGATATATATAGCTACTAAATGTTATTCATATATATGTATGCTATATATGAATTTGGAATGGTTTTATTAACCCTTTCGTTATTAATGACCCATTGTAAGGGTCGTACATATTAAGGGTATGTATGTTATGAATTACTGACCCATATAAGAGTCATATATCATATTAATTTTGATGGAATTGATATTAGTATCACGAAACATAACCTTAGAGAAAAAGTTAATTAGATAATTGATTATTTTTGATTTTTCAAGGACACTATTATACATCTTCTCATGTATGTAATAATTATTACATAAATTTAATAATATTCTATATATATATTTTTTGTAATATGATACTGTTTCTTTTTTTGTTTATATCATGAATAAGATATTAAAAATGATTTTTGAAGAATATCATGCGAACAATTGAATTTTTAATATACCTTTTTTTTTTTAATGAAAATAATGAGAGAAATTATTTTTTAAATAATAATAATAATTATTTTTTAAACAATTTTATATATCTGTAAAAGGGTATATTTGTTATATGTTAAAATTAGTTGAATAAAAAAAAGGAGTTTATTATCGTTTTGACTAGTGTATTTTTAATGATATCATACAGGACAATTTGAGATTACGATTATTAATTATTCGATAATCGGAAGGATAACAAAATTAACGAATTTATTAATTTTACATTAACACTTGTTGTTCGAACATAATCGAACATAAAACATATTTTTCTAGATTTAATTAAAATACAAATTATTTCGAACGATTGATTGATTAATTGTTTATTTAATACAATCGCATTCAACCTGCAACCCTTTCCCCCCCCCCGGGGTCCGCATACGGCCCTGCAAGCCTTCAAATGCTGCCATGTATGGACAATTATTTATTATTTTCTTTCTTTTTTGTTATATTATTTTTTATTAGTAATCAAAATTGATTATTGAGGTTAGTTGTACCTCTTACCCCCTCCACATTCTGTCATTGACACCAACATTTTTAAATACATTTATTATTAAAAATAAATATTTAAATTAAAATATAAATGACATTTTTTTTTCTTAAAAATACCATCAAAAAAATTTTTCTTAATTTCTTTTTCTACAATTCAATAATTAAAATTATTAAATAATAATCTTCTTTCATGTAACATTATTTTTTTTTTTGATTACTGAGGTTATTATTTGTACCACCTACCCCTCCGCCATTTTGTCATTGACACCAAACATTTTAAATACATTTATTATTTAATTAAATATTTAAATTAAAATATATAAATTACATTTTATTCTTTTATAAATCACCATTAAACAATTTTTATAACAATTTCTTTTTTTACAATTTAATAATTAAAATTAATAAATAATAATAATAATAATAAATAATTTAAATATGGCACCAATGTAGGGGTATAGGGGTGGGGAGTTTCTCTGTTTTGATATAGGAAATGAACGTATGCGATTCCTCGAATGGGAAAAAAAAGGTTGCAAGCAAAACCTAATTTTTAAAATTGAATCCTTGCGTTATCCTCTTATTTTTCATTTTTTTTTGTGTTCTTTTTTTTACGCTTGGTAAAAGATATACAAAGTTTGTTCTTAAAATTAAAATCATCTTGTTTAATTTTTCTTTTTCTTCTTGTTTAAATATATCGTTGATAAATAAATAATAATAATAATATTTAATAAAGACGAAATAGAAATAGAAATAGAATTAGAAGTAGATGTAGAAGTAGAATTAGAGGAAGTAGAAGAAGAATAAGAAGAAGAAGAAGAATGCAATATACAATTATGCGATAAAGTTATGACGATTTTTCATTCTAAATCTACAATAAATATTTTTCTCGAAGAATTTTACTATCTCTAACGATTTAAACGATATTGAAAAAAAAAAAAAAAAAAAAAAGAAGAAAAAACAAACAAATATAATTGTCTTCATCCATTTGTTAATGGCTGTTTCCTTCTTTTCTTTTCTTTTTTTTTTCGTTTTATTAAACAACCATTCGTTATTATCAACCCCATACATATATATATACCATAGAATTAGACCATACGAATTTCTATGGAAAAATATTAGCGCCAAGAATTATGTCATAACAAAAAAAAAAAAAAAACCAAAAAAAAGATGGTGGAGTTTAATAAACACCTCTTTTAATTAATCCTAACCTCTAAATTTGTCATTAATCCATTATCAACGTAATGTAACCTATGTATACACGTACGTATATTTTATTAAAGGTTTTTTTTTTTTTTCAAAAAAAAAAAGGAAAAAAATAAATGAACAAATTCATTGCAATAATAAAAATATTGTAACATTGAGATGTGTGTGTGTGTGTGTCTGGGGGGGGGGGAAATATGTTTGAAAACTTGTTTTTAAGAAAACTTTTCTTATCTTACTCAACAACATCATCGTTTTCTTTCCTTTTTTTTGTTGTTTTGTTTTGGAAAGCTCTTAGATAGAAAAGAAAGGAAAGAAAGAGAGAAAGAGAGAGAGATAGAGATAGATAAAATGAGAAAACAAAAAAAAAATAAAAAAAGAAAAATAACCACAGCAGGACGTCGAGTGCAACGTGCATTTTATAGTACATTAATTGGACCGAGATGAGAAACGGGGATAAAACACTTTTACAACGTTGTAAACGCAAAACGTTCCTATCTTTTCTCTTTCATGTTTTTATTATTTTTCTTCTCTCTCTCTCTCTCTCTCTCTCTCTCTGTCTCTTTCTTTTTTATTCATATTTTCTTTTTTTTCTTTTTCTTTCTACCATTCTCTGACATTTAATCGTATTTTACATTGGGTGCCAACGTGTCAACGGTACCGAACAACAACCAAAACTCGTTTATGGTTTTACTGCATTACCCTTCAAGTGTGTGTCTGTCTGTGTATGTGTATGTGTGTGTGTGTGTGTGTTGATTTTTTTCTCACATGTGTATAACATACATTTATTATATATTTTTTTTCCCCCCCTCATCTTCTTCCGCGTTTTGCATCATACTTTACAGCCGGTTACTTTTATTATTATTATTATAATTATTATAATTATTATTATTGTTATTATTATTATTATTATTATTATTATTATCATAATTATCATATACTTTTCGTTTGATCATTTCGATCAAAGGATGCAACGATATTTTCGCGTATTTTAATTAATCATTTGAGCTCTATCGATAATAGTGCGCATATATGCGTTCAACTAATCCCCACTCCTTTTAATCCTATCCCCTCCATCTTCCTACCCCCACTTTCATTTTTTTTTGCTTTGATTATGAATGCTAGATATTGTAATACGTGTGTGTGTGTGTTTGATGAAAATTTATCAACACCGACTATGGATGGGTTCATGCAAATGTTATCGTTCATGGGATTACTTCATTTTTCGGATTGATTTAATTTTTTTTCCGTTTTTGATTTTTATCGCATAATTATAATTATTTTTATGTAAGATTAGTAAGTGTGAGTGTATTCCATAATTTCTTTTTTTGATTTTTACGTCTTTTATCACATAAACAAATGAATTCTGTTATATTCGTCATGAATTAGGTTATTTTTCGTTTTTTTAATAAATAATTAAAATAATTATATAATATATATATATATATATATATATANATATATATATATATAATATCTAAAATATAATTTGCAAAATAATTTCATATTTACCCTTAATATAATATTATTATTAATTTAATATTAATATAATATTAATTGAATTATAATAACATTATATTAATTATTATTAATTTATATTTTTAATTACTAATTTATTAATTAAAATATAATATTATAAACATAATATTATATATAATATTACGGGTAGTTATGAAATTATTTGTTAAATTATTTTTTAAATATTTTCTTTTTTGTTTAAAACAATTTTTGTTAATGAAAACTTATTTTTGTTTAAAACCAAATTTAGTATTTAATTGTGACACCAAATTAATGTCTATGAATTATATATATTACCGTTAAAGCATGAAATTCGTTAATTTATGAAATAACTAATTAAACAGTGAATTTGAATAATATCCATTAATTGAAATATGAAATAATTAATTAATATTAAATTATATATTTTAATTATACAATTTAATTATTTAAGTAATATATGAATTAATTAATGGCAAATGGTTAAAGTATGGAATTGAAATTTTGTATATGAGACGTCAGGGGGTTGAGTCAGAGTAAGTCGCCTCCGTGGCGCAATTGGCTAGCGCGTTCGGCTGTTAACCGAAAGGTTGGTGGTTCGAGCCCACCCGGGGGCGAATTTCATTTTTGCACCCTGTTCAATAATTTTTCCTGGAAGGCTTACGAAGGTTTTTCCTATTGACGAAACAAAAAAAGAAAAAAGGGTTGCATCAATGTTACGTCAAATTTCGAATTGTATTAATTCGAAATTACTTAATTATCAAAATTATTCAATGTATTATAAAACATTTAAATTTTTAATTATAAAACAATTAATCTAAGTTGATAATAAAATTAAATTTTTTGTCTAAAACATTCAGTGTTATTTCATGGATTAACTGAAATATATACTTTAACGGTAACATTTATATTATATATAAATATTTTGGTTCCGTTTTTTGTAATAAATAAAAATATTTATTGAATTTAATAAATATTTTAATTAATAATTAAATATAAACATTTGAAATATAAATTTTAAAATATATTTATAGTTTCTTTTATTATTATTATTATTTGTTATATTTATCGTACTAAAAATTTTGATAATTTATTATTTCAAATAATAACAATACGTTGCAAAGTGTGATCATTTTTAATAAATAATTATTGTTAAAAAAAAAAGAACTAATTTTTATCAATGTTAATTAATTTGACGTAAAAGTATATATAACCATGATAAAATTATTCATTTGCCTAGAGTAGTATAATCAATCCAATTGATGTAATATTTGTAGAGCTCAAATGATTAATATTTATTTATTTTTTTTTCATCAGTTGGTCAAAGAAAATTCAACGCGATTTTTAAATGACTCTCTCCCTTTATCATCTTAAACTTTACATTTGGCGAATTAAGACGTTTATTATTATTATTTTTTTTTTTAAAGATATTTTAAGTACCTTGTTTGAACGTAACATAACCTAAAAAAAAAAAAAAAATTCGGACACAAAGTTTTGAAGACAATTATTCTTCAACTTTTACATATCTATAATCCTACTCGAATTTAAACCTAATATCTAGATGTGATTTATTATTATTATTATTATTATTATTATTTTTTGTTGTTGTTGATAGGTTAGTTTTTTGATTTTTCTTTTTCTTTTTTCTTTTCAATTATTCGTCAAATATTTTTTAAATTTCTTTGTTTAAAATGATACCGCATGGTTGTACAACATCAACGTTTATCAACCTAGGCCTTTTCGAGCATGATTTCTTTTCATCCTTTTTTAAAAGCTCTTCTATCGAATAGGGATTACGTTTTTTTTGTACCGGAACCGGTCTATTCTCAACGGGCATTTCATTACTTGTTACTGTCGTATTCGTTTGTTCTTTTTCCGTTTCAATGATTCTTTTTTGTTGATTTTGTTGTGATTGTTGGGATTGTTGTTGAGATTGTTGTTGTTGTTGTTGTTTATCCATTTCCAATGGATTTACCGGTGGTGTTGGATGTCTTACAAATGCACTCCGGTCGCTTCCAATTTTTTGACCAAGTTCCAATATTATTCTACCACTTTGAAATGATTTATATTGATCATGCGATTCAATATTTTCTTCCAAATCGCTTTTGTCCAATGAATCGTCGCTACCAGCCATTGAACTCGAACTGGATTTTAATTCAACTTGATTTTGTACGCCATTTTGATCAGCCAATCTTTCAGCTTCCAATGATCTAAATTTTGAGAAATAAAAATGTAACAATTATATTATTATTATTATTATTTTAATTATTTGTAATTTTGTAGTAAATTGTTAAATAATTTTTTTTTAATGTTAAATATGAAACTTACGTTAACGATTGCATTCCGTGATGTAAATGTAACGTAGTAGCTTGATAAAGGGACGAATAAAAACTTGGATTCCAAGATGGCGTGCCGTTGTTTCCAGAACTCGTTGAAATTTGCAACGGCCCTAATGCACCTGGGTAAAATAATTGATAATCTGTCCTCATTAATGATTCTGTAACAAAATAAAACAACATATGTTGTGTGTAAATGCTTAAGAATAAAATATGTTTAACCCTTTGAGCGGTGAATACTTTAACCTAAAATATTTTTGTAGAAACCAAATAATTTATTATTAACATTAAATTATTTTACATTAATATTAACAAGTATGTATAAGCTTCTAACGATAAGGTTCGTAATGTTTACTAAAAGCAAATATGCGTCCATAGCACTCAAAGGATTAAAGGGTTCAAGAAAAAGATGAATATTTTTGTTATCTTTAATCTTTCTCGATGAATATAATTATTAGATAAAATCGATCTTTTTTTTTGGTGAATTAATAATACATTCGCGTGTTTAAACTTATCATTTTGTGGGTAATAATAAATGGATTTAAAGTTTGAGGTTACGTGCCCCTTAACGTTATGCAACCCGTCACATTCGTTTGTTCAATTGATTTCATTCTGGGTATTTCCTCCTTTTTTCGCGACATCTTTGATATTTTTTTTTTTTTTTAAATATCCCTTTGAATGAAATTAACTTGAACGATATTAATTTATAAGATAAATTATATTAACAAAGTTAAATAAATTAAATAATAAAACAAAAATATAAATTATGATTTGGAATTTATTCAAATATTCGTATAACTTACTAAAGATGTTAGGAATAAAAATAAGGTTGTGTTGCGTCTATGTTTTAATTTGATTTCTAACCCTAGGGTATTTTACAAAAAATAAATAAAAGCAAAATTAAAAATAAACAAGTAAAGAAAGAGAATCGTCTGATGCAAAAATTGCATAGGTCACGAAAGCGGAATGATTTAAATTTCGGTTATTTTTTTTTTCTTGGTCCAGAGTGGAGAATTCACCGAAGTTCGCGTGTTCTTAGACTGACGAGTCAATCATACTGAGTACCAAAGTCTTTGCAAAAATTTCTTCTCGACTATCGACTTTCTCCATATCTTCTTCATTTTTCTTTTTTTTTTTTTTTTTTCTACCAGGCTAATCGAGACTAAAGAAGGGTACAAAAGTAAAAAGAAAACTAACAAAAAAAAGGAAAAAAGGGATTTGAACGAAGTTGTAGACCAATTATGTGTTAGAGACAGATGTTTAAAGAGATCGTTGACTGATTGTGAGATCAATTTATAATCTCGACTAATATATTTTAATATAAATCATTTAGATTATAAATTACAATATTATGATGAAAAAATTTAAATATTGAATATAATAGGGGAGAGAAAAAAAATCCACTAGATTTTTTGAATTTATTTCAAATATCAAAGAAATGCTAAAAGAAATTCAGGAAGTATTAATGGAAATATATTTTCAATACTGAAAAAAACTATCAATTTTCTAAAAAAAACAAAACAAATTCCCCTAGGTTCTTTGAATTTATTTAATATATGAATTTATTTATAATTATTTAAAAAAATGAGGATATTTCCGCTGGAAGTCAAATTGGAATAGATTTAAAAAAATATATCCTTGGATAATAAGACGGCACAAAATTCCCTAGTTTTCTAAAAATATTAAAAATATAAACAAAAAGTGATAAGAAAATACTTTTGGAAGTAACATTAGAAAAGATTTTAAAAAATACCGTCGGATAATAATATAACGCAAAATTCCCTAGATTTTTAAAAATATAAAAAATATCGAAGAAACTGTTAAACAAAATGGAGAAGTACTTTCTGAAAGCAACATTGGAAAAAAATTTTTTTAAATTACAGTCGTATAATAACATAGTACAAAATTCCCTAGCTTTCTATAAATAATTAAAAAATAAAAAAAAAATATAATAAAAAAAAAAGAATAAGAAAGTACTTATGGGAACAATATTAGAAAAGATTTTTAAAGAATATACCATTATACAATAAAACAATAAAAAATTCCCTAGCTTTCTAAAAATATTAAAAATATAAAAAAAGAATAAGAAAGCACTTCTGGACGAAATATTGGAAAAAATTTTTTAAAAAATATATCATCATATAATAAAAGAGTAAAAAATTCCCTAGCTTTCTAAATATATGAAAAATATCAAAGAAATGATAAAACAAAATGGTGAATTACCTCTGGAAGCAACATTGGAAGAGATTTGGGTAGCATAACCGGTGGATGAGCTTCCTTCGATTCCAGGATGATCCGTGTGTAGTCCACCACCCCTGAGAATTCGGTTAACCGATGAAACGGAGGGTAAGCTTTGCGGATCACAAGCACCTTGTCTGGCAAGTTGTTCGCGTATTTCCCAGGCAAACATCGTCGGCTGTTCCTGTTTCATTCGCAGAATTTTCTTAACGACCGTAGGCGTTGCTACTTGCTGCAATACCAATATAAACATACAAAACTTTTTCATGGATTTTTCCCCCAGAAACACTAACACAGAGAGAGAAAGAGAGAGAGAGAGAGAGAGAAACTAAATTGTCATTTAAATCAAGGAAAATTAAAAGAAAACAAATTTCACTTTTTATCTGTTTTTTTCTTCTTCTTCAAAACTGACTATTTTAGAGATAGTTCTCTATGATCCCTCCCCCCTGCCACTCCCGCCCCTCTGTCCCTAGTTCGCGTTACATTTCTAGTTTTAAACGAGTATTCTACGATATAGATCGTAAAAGATTTTAACTACAATATTATCTTCTTCAAAACACACGGAAAACCATTTAAATTCTTACTAGTTATATATAGTTAGGAAATAGTGATAGGGTGAGGGGGGGGGGGTAGGAGGGGGCTAGAGAAGGGGAACGATTACGAGGGGAATATTTAACTTTTACGATCGAACTTTTTATCCAAGGACATGTTAAAGATCTAATATGTTTATTTTGAACACATTCTACAGATATTATTGAACAAAGTTGTTCATTTTAAATAGACGAATATTTATGGTTAGAAATATCAGAAATCTGATATACATATATGGTAAATGTATTTATTTATATATATATATATATATAGGGAAATAAAACGATGATGGTGTCGTTGATTTCAAAATGCAAAACTAAACGATGGGAAATTGATATGAAATGTAATCGACAGGAAAGAGAATATGTCCTGGGCATATGTTGAGCACAGGTGAAAGAGAAGAGGATCCCATAAGAGCCAAGCAAGCGGCAGGCAGGGTCAACGATCAAGATAAGCGAGTATAAAGTCCGGTAGGTGGGTTGTTATAAACCTACTACATACTTTATTTCCATTTTTTTAGACCATCGTGTTTTGGGGACAGTACGAAACGACGAAAGAGAACCATAGAGTCATCTGCCAGACCCCATTTTTGTCCTTTCATATCTTTTTAAGGTTATGTTTCGTTTCGTCTTTTCGTAGGTAAAACGACAAAACGAATTATTTCTTGTCAGTGGTTCTCAATGGATCAATAAAAATATTGATTTGTAATATTTTTTTTTTTCATAAAAGTGAAGATGGGGGATTAATATTAAATGTAAAAAATTAAAATAGAAAATTTAGATAATTTTTTTTTAGGTTAGAAATACCATTTCTGTTTGATTTTCTTTCATATAACTATTTTAAGTATTTTCTTTGATAGGGATTTAAGGTACAAGTTACAATTTTTATAGATTTGTAAGTTTTGTTCATGGGGTTAGGGTCGGGGTTGAATGTTAAATGTAAAAAATTAAAATAGAAAATTTAGAAGATTTTTTTTTAGGTTAGAAATACAATTTTTGTTTGATTTTTTGTAATACAATTATCTGAAATATTATTCTTTTATAGGAATTTAAGTCACAGATTATAATTTTTATTAATTTGTAATTTTTGTTCATGGGTTTAGGGTGGGGGTTTAATGTTAGATGTAAAAAATTAAAATAGAAAATTTAGATAATTTTTTTTATAGGTTAGAATTATCCCTATCTTTTATAGGGATTTAAGTCACAGATTGCAATTTTTATAGATTTGTAAGTTTTGTTCATGGGGTTAGGGTCGGGGGTTAATATTAAATGTAAAAAAATAAAATACAAAATTTAGAAAATTTGTTTATAGGTTAGAAATAAAATCTTAGTTTGATTTTTTTTTTAATACAATTATTTAAGGTATTCTTTGATAGGGATTTAAGTCGCAGTGATTCTCAATTTCAAATAAGTGATTCTTATAAATTTGACTTGCTAATGTGAGTTCTTAAAAGAGAGGGGAAGTAAGTTTTTAATGGTATATACAAGACAACAAGAGAGAAGCCGCCACTGCCGTTGCTGCCACTGCCACCGCCACCGTTGATAATTTCATGCTAACGGTATGGAAATGTTATTCGAGTTTCATACCGAGATTTTTCAGATCGTCGACTCGTGCCAAAGGCGACGAACCGAGAAACAGGGGGAAGGAAACGAAAAAATAAATATAAGAAACAAAGAGTAAGATAAGATTAACGAATCTTATTATTGAACAATTATTCTTAATCACTTTCAAGATTTTTCATTGATTTTCAATCTAATTAGTAAACTATATTAACTAATACAGTGTTATAATAAAAGTATAAAATCTTTATGTTGTAAAACACATTTTTGTATATTTTATAATAATAATAATTTGTTATTTTTTTTTCACTAATATTTTATTCACTTGCTAATACATTCACATGCATTAGCATTCAGATGCTAATAAGATTTCTCTCTTATTTTTTTATTTAATATTTATTATTTATTAAGGGTAATATTATCTATTAATATTAATCATTTTATATAATATTATCTAAGAGGTAATATTATCTATTAATATTAATATTTTTGTTGTATAATAACATTTATTATAATTAGGTTTTGTTATTTTGCATGTTTATTATTTATAAAACATTTTTGTGTATTTTATAAATTACTAATTTTTTTTTTCACTAATATTTTATTCAATTATTCAATTATATTTTATTCAATTATAATTTCCCTTGGTTATTAGATGAACACTAAAACACTTAATAAAACTATGAACCTATAAACATTAAAATACCTAAGAACACTATGAACCTATTAACATTAAAATACATAAGATTACTAAAATACTTAACAACACTATGAACTTATGAACCTATGAACCTATGAACCTATGAACATTAAAATACCTTAGAACAATATGAACCCATGAACACTAAAATACCTAAGATTACTAAAATATCTAACAACACTATGAACTTATGAACTTATGAACCTATGAACATTAGAATACCTAAGATTACTACAATATCTAACAACACTACGAACTTTCGAAATTAATAACAACACTATGAACTTATGAACTTAATAACAATACTATGAACTCATGAACCTATGAACTTATGAACATTAAAATACCTTAGAACAATGTGAACCTATAAACATTAAAATACCTTAGAACAGTATGAACCTATTTACACTAAAATACATAAGATTACTAAAATACTTAACAACACTATGAACTTATCAACTTATGAACTAGTGAACCTATGAACCTATGAACTTATGAACATTAAAATACCGTAGAATAATATGAACCCATGAACACTAAAATACCTAAGATTACTAAAATATCTAACAACACTATGAACTTATGAACTTACGAACTTATGAACCAATGAACCTATAAACACTAAAACAACTATAATCCACCAATCATACGTAATAATATAAACTTAAATCTTAATCAAAGAATAAAAATAATTAATCAAATCTGAAGATAAAAATTGAAATAAATTATAATTTTTTTCTTTTTTTTTTTTTGGGGAAGATTGAGAGCTACTGTTAAGGTACTACACTTCACGATTAAGGGCGGTTATGGCAAGAGAGTTGAGGACGAGGAGGGTTAACCTAATAGTTTCAGAGGGTTAGGACAAGCATCGCGTGCTACCGGGAGCATCTCAGATTCTAATCTGACACTTCCGTCGTCGTTGCCACAATTACCTTGGTCGACGTTGTGTATACGTGTCCTAATGTCTCTCTCTCTCTCTCTCTCTTTCTCTTTCTCTTTCTCTTGCAACCTAGGTATCCCTACATTACGAACTACCTTTCCATACGCGTGTACTCGCTCACACGGTCGAGGAAATTGGTTTGGCAGGACGGACATATGGCGCTAAACGTTAGATAACGCAAACCGTTCGAACAGGTTGACCAACTCAGTAATTACCGCACGAACCTACTATATATATATTAGCTTGTATTTGTGTGTGTGTGGGTTGGTTTGTATGGTTATGTGTTTGTGTACATCCTAGCCGATAAAGACAACCAACAATCTTCGAACCTGTTCTTTTCCATTCCTTCTTCTTTCATTTTCTTTTCTTTTCTTTTTGCTTTTGTTTTTTCTTGGGTTTGAAAGAAATATATAAATGATGATTTAAACTCTTTGATATATATATATATAGGTGTTCATGGTAAGTTATTGGTATCTACTATGGGCGCATATATGCGTTTGCTAATTTTTGTTGTTGTTGTTATTGTTATTTTACGTTATTACAATACAATTATTGTTTTTTTTATAAGATGAATGTATGTGGCTTGATTTTACATGTTTCATCACATATTAATTAATTATTTACATTATAATAAATTTTGGTTAGGATATATTTTTTTTTTGAATAATTAAACAATTTATGTTTTATTTATATATACTAGGATGTTATAAAATGTTGATTTAATATAATTCTTAACTATTTAGTAAATTATAACGACATATAAAATAATACCACAATTAGAATGGAATATATAATAAATAATAATACAAGAAAAAAATATAAAAAGTAAGGTTAGGTTATGTCATAAGTAAATCTGAAAAAAATGTAAATTAATTGAGATTGTAATACAGTGCTATCTATTAAAAAATTACAGTACTTAAAGACATAGATAATTTTTAAAAAATAAATTTCTAAATTAGCAATAAAAAATAAAAATAATGGCGATTAAAACTATCCTATATTCTAAGTTGAAAAAAATTACATGAAATAAAAAAAATTTCATTAAAATCTCTTCTGTAATTTTGGAATTATTAGTGGACAAACATATTGTGGCCACTGAATTTTTATATTTAAAGATATTGGGATTTCTGGTAGGGGCGTGGCGTAGCAATTCGACCTATCTACTCTAATTTTGAATTTAACCACCAGATAGCGTATTCAAGTGCTAGAAATCCCACGTGGCGTAGCAATTCGACCTATCTACTCTAATTTTGAATTTAGCCACCAGATGGCGTATTCAAGTGCTAGAGATTCAAATATGTATATATATGTATAATGTATAGGTGTTCATGGTAAGTTATTGGTATCGATTATGGGCGCATATATGCGTTTGCTATATATAATAAATAGAAATGTTATAGAAAGAAAAGCAGATTTTAAAAACGAATCAAATTTTAATTTCA